GATTGAGTTGGATTTGATGGCTAGTTTGCCGTGGCGTTTGTGGGTGAATTTGAATGCTTGAATGTGGCCAACTTGAATGTCGGATTGGTAAGCTTATGACTGAAATTGGATGTTATGATGTGTGAGAATGATAATGGTGTGAGTTTGATGAATGGTGTTGTGGGTGTTCGGACTTGATTGGGTGATATTGATTATGTGATTGATGCGAAATTGATGGAATTGTATGGCGTGTGTGCCTATGAGAACGGACTTGAGACGTGTTGACGGTGGTCCGTGGAAAGAAAGTAGAGCCCGGATTGATCGAAGGGCTGACCTGAGGTGTGTTTACGTGAGTCGTGAGAAAGTGAGAAAGGTCATGTGGGGTGTTGACCCGAGACAGAGCCCGGATTGATCGGAGGGCTGACCTGTGGGGTGTTGACCCGGGTCGTGAGAAAGTATGAAATGTCCAGTGAGGGACGGAGCCCGGATTGATCGGAGGGCTGGCCTGTGGGGTGTTGACTCGGGTCGTGGAAAGTTGCTCGGCCACGCATGCGAATTGTGTTTGATTGAATTGGGTGAACATGCGTGATTATGGTGCTTGAGTGTTTATATTACGTTTTTGAGTAATTACCGCATTATAGTGTTTGACTAATATACAGAGTTGGCGTGTGATTGGAGGCGAGGTAAATATGTCCTTGTGAATTCTAGTTTGTCGGTTGTTATATTGCATGTGGAGACTCGTCTAGGTGCGCATTGGCCTATGTGGGGTTTAGGTTGTCTACTTATTGAGATTTATCTTATCCACCGTTGTTAAACATTTTCAGGTTTGGAGTGATGAATAGTCGTCACGTGCGGTTCAGAGACCGGGAGTGACTTTGGGCATTTGATGTTTCATTTCATCTATTGGATGCCCCCTTTTTGTATAGAGAAGTAGGCTACCTAACCACCGCCCCCTTTTTATAAATATGGTTTGAAGTTAGTATCCTAGATTGAATGTTGTAAGTGATTGTCAATTTTATGAAGTGCGTTTGTTGATTTGTGCCTATGCTATCCCGCTGTCATTGTTTATTGTCTGGGTCATTTCTATTTTGCTTCTGCTTGCCTTTATCGTTGAGTGTTTCGGTTGGGTCGGCGACGCGTCCTGGAACGTAGCGTTCAATACGGCCTCTGAAGGGGTGTCGCGAGCCCGTCGGGGTTTGGGGCGTGACAATTTTTCTTTTCTTTATTTCTTTTTTTTTTCCTTCTTCCTTTGTTGGTCACCGAGCCCCGGATTTGGCGAAGCAAGACTTGCTCGAGGCTAGTGAGGTCGCCCCTCGCCAATTCTCGGCAAGGCCGGCCCTCGTTGGCCTCTAGTAAGGCTCTACCTCGCCCCAAGCCGGTGAGGCTGACCCTCGCTCGTCGTTGCCTTTGGCCGGTTGTTTTTGACATTGAAGGTAACGTAGATAAGGACATGCTCACTACTTTAAAATTTCATCTAAGGGTGTGTTTGTTTCGGCAAAAATTTCATAATAAAAGAAAATGTTTTCCTCTTTTCCTGTTAGGGAATTCATTCTCCTAACTTTAAGCTCGCATAATTTCATTGACCGTAAATAGTTATCCGTTGACTAATCCTTTTCAACAAACCAGATGCGTGAAAAAGTTCAGAAAATCAATTCGCGGAAACTTATTTCACTAAAAAAAACACACCCTTAGAGTATCGAGCATGTGACTTAGTACTTAATGACGCCCGTCAAAGGAGATATGCGATCAAGAAAAGAGCACAGCCGCACAACATCACTCAATGGAACCCCCTCTCTCTTTCCAGTTTGTGTTGTTTTCTTCAGTTCACGTATGTTCTTTTTTTCTAATTTATTTTCCTGTTTTGGTTCTGTCTTTAATTTTACAGTTTTTGTTGATTTGGCAATGACTTGTACAAATCACATCAACAAACACAAGTCCGATGACTAAGGTGGATTGCCATGTCAGATGTCCATCTTACCGAATCGAATTGAAGGAATAATTTGGTCCTATTGAAAGAACATAGGGACCAAATTGAACATTGAATAAAAGTACACGGGCAAATTAGGGCATTGTCCCTTTAATTTCCAACCATTAGGTTATCAAATAGTCTTTGAGTCTCTTCTATTTTTTAAAAGAGCAAGGAAAACCTTTGAATGAAATTTAAGTGCCAACAATAGCCAATACCTGATGCATTGATTTTACAATTTACGGTCTCTCCATTGAAAAAGAGAAGAAAGATTATATTTTGCTACCTTCTTCATAATTGCAAGTATAGAAACCTAGACGATCTGGCTTCATTTCGAAACACAAACTTTCCTCTTTATTATGGGTTCAATCCCAAGAAATTGTACAAAACAAAGAAAAGTGCCACAAAAAGCAGATACCCTAGACCAAACCCATCACCCCCACCGTCATATGTTATTTGAAGTTTAGAGCTGCGTTGGAGTTTAGAGCTGCCAACGTATGTTATTTGAACTTTTATTTTTCACATAATAATAATAATAATAATAATAATAATAATAAATTACAAATGACCAATAAATAACAAATAAAGAAAAAGAGAAAAAAAAAAGGGCGGGCTTCAATTCGGCCAATACGAAATGGGCCTGACACTTTGGGCCTAGTTCAATTAGCGCAGCCCACTAATCCAAATCCGTGGCCTGTTAGTCCAATTCATTTCAGCTTCAGTGGGCTTGGCCTGTGAATAATCTCTCTCTCTCTCTCTCTCTCTCTCTCTCTCTCTCTCTCTCTCTCTCTCTCTCTCTCTCTCTCTCTCTCTCTCTCTCTCTCTCTCTCTCTCTCTCTCTCTCTCTCTCTCTCTCTCTCGTTTTATGGAGCAATTCAGATGGAAGTAGAGGTCATGCGGATGGAGGTGACCAACAGATTCGTGATTCCCATATAAAAAAAAACAAACGGATTTCATGTCCGGATTCTAGAAAATTCCTAGACAATTTTACTTCTGACATCGTTGCAGTTCATTCTTGTGTGAAGCATGCTCGCCGGCGTCGATAATACTAGACCAAGCGATGCAACGAATGGAATATGATCCGGTGAATACTAGAGCCCTATACATAAAACCATATCCAAAGTGGATGGACGCAGTATCATATCCAAGAGGCTTTGAAATGCCTGATTTCAACCTCTTTTTTGGTGAAGATGATCAATCTACAATAGAGCATAGTGCACAATATGGTGATGCATCTCATGCTGATTGTTGAAAGTTAGGGATATTTCCCTTGTCATTATCTAAGATAGCCTTCACGTGGTATACATCTTGATTGGCCAATTCTATAAATTCCTAGGAGCAAATGGAGACACAATTTTATAGCCAATTCTACAGGTCAGTTCCGATGAGTCTATTGCTACTATTAAGCAACATAAATATGAGTCAGTGAACCAGTTCATTGCCATATTCAAGAGGGTTAGAAATAGATGCCTTACTTCACTCCCATATAAAGAATTTGCAAATTTGGCTTTTGGTGGATTGAAATTCATTCTTAGAAAAAAATTCGAAGGCCTAAATTTTGCCGATTTATTCCAATTGGTAACGAGAATGTCTAAGTATGAACAATTACTTAAGCACAGATATAGAGGACCACATAAAAACTCCACAAATTGCGTGCCTTATGTGGAAAAGTATGAGTCATATGATGATACTGAGCAAGATTAAAGTCGGCCAAAAAACAAACCAAATTTGTCGATGACAAGGGGGCACATGAAAACTCTCAATTACCTAATTTAAAAGAATCGAATGATCCATGAATCATTCAATTCTTTTAAAATGGGGCATATGTTTACACCAAAAAATGAAATTTTTTTTGTTATTATCAACAAGTGATGGGCTTAGTCAATAAGAGTAGAGTTTTGTGGTCTTTCTATTGTAGCCCAATGTGTCAACTACTCAAGCACTAGGATCGGAAGAGTGACTTGCACACACGGAGACTCCATCACAGAACGAGCAGAAATTTCAATTATGTGCTAGTTCGGGAAAATGGTCATAACTTTGTAGATACAGGTCGGATTGACCTAATTTCAAAGCCAAAATAACGAAGACTCCTGGATCTACAACTTTTATGTTTTGAGTTTTCTCAGAAAATTCTTGTAGAGTTTTCGATTTCAAAAGGAAGTAGACAGTCATGACTGGTCTGGATGTGGAAAAAGGATAAGAACTTCAGTGAAGAATGGCCAACTTGTAGGAATTGACGAAAAGTGGAGTCGATAATATCGGATGCAATCGTCAAAAAAGCAACTATCAACGTAGTGGAATTGAAGAAACCGCCAACGTAGTGGAGTCTACTTAACCATCGATAACCGTTCGGTAACCATTCATAACCTCTGTTTGTAACTTCTTTTTGTAACCTCTCTTTGTAACTTTTCATAACTGTTAGGAAGTTATTTCTTTTTAACTAACCATTTGTAACCTCCTTTGTAAGCTTCGTTGATAATGGTCGATTGTAGATTTTAAATAGCCACATTCTACTCTTCGGAGAGTCCCCCCGACAAATCAACCAAAATTTTATTTTTCAATTATCTTTACTTTCCTGTACTGCACCTATTTTTCCTTAGCTGTAGCTTTCCGATTTGCGTCGTCGATTAAATTTTGGCGTTACATCTTTGCACATTCTCAAGCTTTGTCATCGATTAAATTCCGGCACGGTTTGTACTTATAGTTCGGTTCGAAGTTCGAAGTAAAAGTTTGCAGTTATTTCTTGTCTGCCTAGACATTTCTTGTTTGAAATCGCTAGAGAACCCGTCTCTTCTCATTAAAAGCCGAAGAATGGCTTTCAGTGAAAGATATTTCGTCACGAGAGCAATTTTGGCGAAACAATTACAAACCATGAAACTCAAAGAAACGTACTACCCTAAATGAACTTATGTCCTCTAAATAAAAGTTACAAAGAATATGTAATAGATAAGATATTATACGTGAGGATAATTATGGGATGAAGTATTACGAATCATAAGATCCATAGAATATAAGACAAGAAAAGGGAAATTATGAGTCTTATCTTGCAAATCAATTTTGAAAGTATATACTAGTAACGATATTTTCCCTCTTGCATCCAAGAAAAATAGAGAGTTCAGAGGCATGGTTGATAGACCCTTTATTTTCAATACCACATCGGTGTGATGATGTTTAGTTCAAACTTCACATCGGCAGGGGACTAACATAGAGCGATATGATATGATCTTTGACCTTGGTCTTCGAATGGGTGTAATGATCTCCGTTGGTGTATAGCACATCGATCACCCGCGAGAGATTGAGAATTCGCGTGAGAACCGGTGCTGGGACCGCGGTCGGACGAAGAAACTCCTCATTGATGTCCTTCCACGCATCAACAACTCGTTTCTGGAGTTCCTCCTCAGCTTCCTGCTCCGAGATGCCATTTTCTTTCATCAACAACTCCACCGAAGATGCTACGTGCCCCCTCTTTTGCTCCAACTGTGTATCAACAAAATTGGTGTGATTAGGTCAATAGCGTTTCCAATTGAGTAGTGGTCGATCTAATTTCAGTAGATTATTGGAGGATAATTACATTTCTATTATACCTGGTGAGAAGCAATGTCATCCATGAACCTACATATGATTTGTGAAGCCTTCAAGATCTTGCAGTCACCGAGCAACCATTCAAAAGCATCTCTTGTGACCACATCGCCCATTCCTACAAGCGATGTGATCGCTACCTCTTCATAGCCGGTCGTTAATAATGCAAGGGGCATGTATTCCTCCATCGTTGGTGTGTAGCCGGTATGGAACCATCTGGCTTCGTCAAAGTACCCTCTTGCTTGCTTCTTCATCTGAGAAATTAAACGTAAACAAGAATGTTGGGTTCCCGAGAAAAATTGAATTGGGTGCATATAAAGGGTACCGATGATGCTTACGGCTTCTTTTGCATAGGTAAGGCGGTATGATCTTCCTTTCGTGGCCAATTCATTCCCAATTTCATCATAGAGATCGAGAAGCACCTTATAATAAGCTTGCATATACTCCGGTAGTCCATCCATGGCATCAACACTCCACCTGAATTCGAGTCCTTGAAAATTACTTACTTACTCTACACATACTTGATCAAATTCAAAAGTTTGAGAAAGAATGCGGATTACGTACTTCTCAATTGCTTCGGTTAAGGATACGAGTTCTACTAACGTGCCATAGACGTCATAGATATCGTCGAGAATGGAAATCAGGGCGATCACTCTGGTTAGTATATATCTGGCCTCGGCAAACTCCGGCTGGAAATATACTCCCGATATCCAGAAGAACAACTCCACAATCCTATCTCTACAGAATGGGAACTTCCTCGCAACATCTATATCCTTCCACCACCTTTGACAAAATGAAGATGAGCGTTATTGAAAGTACGTTAGCCCGATGAATTTGCATAGTTCAAACTCACTTTTTCACTTGTAAAGGACTTTCAAAAGCACTAATTATAAGGGTAAATTGAAACTAGACGAGTAAACCTTTGGAAAACACAATCTATAAGCTAATTTTAGATTATACTATCACGTGAAGTTAGTTGACCTTGTAATCCTGCCCAGTTCCTTTTGGTGTTGCTCTCGCAATAAGTTGAAATCTAGTTTAGCCAAGGCGAGCAAGACGTCGTCATGTGAAGGCTCTCCTTGGTAGATTGATATATAATGCCTTGCCTCGAGTCTCGGCAGCCCCTTGCGAAGTGGTTGATCGAGGGCACAACTCACTTGTTTCGCAAGATTATTGCTTACTTTCATTTCATCAATCGATTCAAGTTGAGTTATAGCAAAAGGAAGTGCTTCCTCCAAAATATCATCGCCATGGCACCTTAAATGGCAAGCTTCATATAGGGTCAATAATCCGCGCACATCTGTGATGAGTGATTCCCTGAATTTGCCTTCACTGTCCTTGAATTTGTTAAAAACCTCTGTGCGACCAGCCAACATGGGACAAAAGACGTAATTGATTAGAAATTAGGAAGGCGATACACGTAGTTAATGTTGTAGATTTTCTTTCACTTGTTTTTCGTAAAATTCGATTGAGCAATAGTAAATTTTGCGGCATTAATTTTCCAAAGAAGGAATTTTATGGGCATATTATCGGATCGGTTCACTAAGTTTAAGACTTACCCGATGAGATATTGAAACCTTGTTGTCGCAGCAATCGAAACATAAGAGCAACCATGTGAAGGTCATCTCCCATAAAACCTCCATGATCGAGTTGATAGTAACTTTTGTGGATATGTTCTAATTGCTCATCTATTTCTCGTTCAAAATGGTAGTCAATTCCCAAGCGTTGAATTTGATCAATCAAGTGAAGCATTTGTGAAGGCTTATCCGCGACATCAGTCAGCATCTTCCTCACCACTCCTTTCAATTCCTCGACTTGTTCCTCCACTCTTCCAAGGAATTTGAATTTCTGCAAATATGTAACACGCTATTCTGAATAAAAGCAAGCGTGTGAAATATATATATTACAAAAAAGAAAAAACAAACAAACTCAAAGGAAAGCGAAGTTACTGTGAAAAATAATAATCATGTTTTCTTGGTTACAAACCCATAGAAAGAAAATATGAAAACAAGGCAAGTTGTAATTTCTGATAACTCATTACGACGAGCATATATTCTCAGAAAAGTGAATTAATGATAAAGGCCAAATCATTTCATTTTGAAACTTTCAAAGAGACGAAATCTAAGATTATTCTCTAAAATCGAACAATCGATGACCAAATCATTTCATTTAGGTGGAGTAGTACTGTTGATGTTTTTGAAGGAGGGACTGTAGCATACGTCGGGTGCATACAATGTAGTCTAAACTTGTTAAATATGACCCTGTTTGATGGAGAAATTCATAGACCGAGGGGGATAGTCGAATTGATAAAGAGGATGGAGATCAAAACAAAAGCTGAATGCCCGACAAAGCAAAGATAGATTCAAAAGTAAAATCCACCGTGTACGTTTGGTGATACTTCTCTTGAATGGACAGCGGAATTACGGTCGAATTGATCAAGCCAACCACATAGTTCTGCTACTAAGACTTAGTCCTAAACCAACGCAACTAGAACCATGTATCCGCATTCTCTTTCTCCCGGATGGAAAAGCTAAGAGAAAAAAGTAAACGAGGAAGGAAACTTTTTTCTCGCTCAATCCCTTCATTGTTCTACCACTTCTTACTAGCAGTTCTTTCTTTACACTTGAAGACAACCCACTTTTTTCATAAACATGAAGAGTCAAAGAGTCCACAAATGTTGAGAGCTTTCAGGCAGAAGAAGAGCTCAAAGCGGTCCTTAGCAACCCTACTTTCACCATATTTTCCCAACGTTCACATATAGTGTAATAGGTACCTTCACAACATGTAAATATACCTTTTTCGATTCAAGTGCAATTGCAAACGTTTTCTGGTTATACATTTTTTTTGCCTGGAACATGAATAATGGGTGACTTACATAGTGATGGAAGATGAGGGTTTTCCGATATGTAACCAATTTATCGAGCAACATTGGGATCGATGCTGCCCAATAATCTAAGAATTATGGTGCATGTGTGTTACTGAAAACTTTATGATAAAGGAAAATATATTCCGTGTAAATCGTTTCTAAGGAAAATGGTTAGTTTTCATTTGTTTTGTGGTTTAGGAAAAATGATTTCCTTATTGCTAGAAGTAGAAATTATTTTTCCCCAATTTAAGCTTATTGTTTTCGGTCCATGGAAAACGCGTTTTTGTAGATTGATTAGTTTTCCGTTATCCAAATATCAGAAAGTCGGAAAATAATTTCTAGGAAACAATTGTCCTTTAAACAAACGGGCCTTAGTTCTTTGATGCCATCAATTATCGTGAGCACAAGGACTTTTATTAATTCTACAAAACGCAATTGCACGAAAACAAAGGAAGAAGATAAGAGAAGAATTACTAACCGTTGAGTTGGAGGGAGAAGCATATTTGAGGAAGTAATCACCCCATACGCTCTCGTGATATTCCGCCGACCGGCGTTCGACCCCGCTGCTTCTTCCTTTACTCGGAGAAGAAGATGGAATTGCCGAAACCTGAACCGACATGTTCCCCACTATTTTCGTGCTTCGTTTGCGGATATCGGACGACTACGGGAATCGAAGAATGGGGAGAGGCTTTCGCTGCGTTGCAGAACATCAACACTTGATGGGTATTTATAGGCAACTTGTTCGTAACCACCTCGTTACTTGGACTTAATTTTTCAGGGCAAACCAATCACATTTTAATGAATAATAACACGAGTGAGAATATTTCGTATGAAGAGAAGATATTCTCCTCATAACATTATCGATCCTATCCATCCCGCCTTCATACAACAACCGATATTAGTAAAATTCAGATGTAGTAAATAGAGCTTTATTTTCTATCGAAATTACTCGCCAAAACTTATTTCTTATCGACTTATGCTTCTCGCCGGGGGTCGCCTTCCCCCAGGCGACCGCCGGCGAGGCCGCCGTGGCCTGGGCGAGGGCCGGCACTGCCGGATCTGAAATAATATTTTTGGGGTATACAAAAGGAAATGAAATACAAATTATTACTAAAATCAAACACCTCTATAGTTTATCACCTAACAAATTATGAAATAATTATGTAGGAGATTGTAAGTAGAACGTAGTATCCAAGCACTTCTCTAATCCAAGATGGGCAAGCTAATCGGCAGGACAATTTCCTTCCTGAAAATTATGTCGCAATTTAAACTCAAAGTAAGAACTCAACAATCTTACATCTCGAAGTAGAATAGGGTCAGTGTTATCCTCCATAATCTTTTGATTAACAAGTTGAGTCCATCCTCAAAGATGGACTTATGAAAACGATGTTGCTTGGCGAAGTTGAGTCCCAATCATAATGCCCAAAATTTTACTTGAGATGACGAACATATTCCAACGAAAGAGGCAAAACCTCCAAGTTTAATTTTGTATAAATAGCTCGCAAAAAAGTAATGAAGTTTCTACTCTGGGGTAGCAAGTTTGAATCCTGTGCCTCAGGTTAATCTGTAAGTTTTTTAGATAGAATTGGCTGGTGGCGCCAATTGCCCTCTTTTCTTTTTATTTTGTTCTCTCTTTCTTTCTTTATTTCTTTGTAAAATTGTTTCTTCTCTTTTTTACTCAACCAAAGTAATATTTTCTACTTTTTTCCTTATTTCTTTTCTCCTCTTTAGTCTTTTTAATCCAATCAAAGATAAATTTATCTTTTTTATTTTCCAACTTGTCTTTTGAGTATATGATTGTAATTCTTTTATTATAAATTTCCAAGCAATCCACTCATGTATCTTTTATGATTTTACATTTTTCTGCTTTCCTTTGTTGATGGACCTTTAAAATTATTTTGCAATTCGAATCCAAATATGGAAAAATCGTTTCACTTTTTTGACTGAATTTATGAGGATGCGCCATCGGCTTCAAGTCCAGATTCAACATATGTCCGCCATAATCAATGATTCTTGTACTCTCTTCTCTTTGGGTGGTCCATCTATAAAGGCATTGCAAGTGAACGATTCTGGCTTTGCAATCTCCCAAGAGCAATCTATCAAGCAATTTGCGAATTCATATTATGTGTATCGTAACTCTTCCCAGATCAAAAGTTATGACCATTTGATTGCACGCTAGGTGACTTCATATCCTGAGCTTGCCTATTAGACTTCTGCTTGTCCAAACGATCTAAAAGGTCTTCAGCAGCCGCGTTCAAGTCAGAATCTATTGAGAAGAAGTGGCACCAACATATGGAAATTGTTCGAGATTATAAAAATCCCACATGTGAGCCATTGTGTAGTGTGCAAACAATGTGAACTGTTGCTTATGACCGCATTAATTCATCAAACTTGAAATATCTGCCATCGAACTTGGATATAATGCCTGGCACTACACCAATTTAGTTTGGTCCCAGACCAATGAATCATAGTCCCTGTTTTTATAATGACAGAATTTCGGCGTTCTCCGGTCCCTAATTGTTTGCTCACGTACGATGGTCCCCAGCTCTTGAGCTCTAATACCACTTGTTGAGCTTTAGAGGCGTAACATATGAAAGTGAAAGCCTCGATTGCCGGCAACAATTGTCGGCAACTCTCGAAGGTGAACGACTTTAATTGGTAACTCTTAAGGAAAAACACTCAAGGAGAGGAGAGGAATAAGCTATTTTATTATGACTTGATTCACCTTACAAATACTTCGACCAGACTTGCCTTTTTATAGGCACAATACATGACTCTTGATATAGCTCATAAATAACTATACATTTATTTGATATTAACTAGACATTGAAATACGAAAGGTCAAGACTAAATACGAACAATCACATTAACGAGTCATTGAAATACAAAAGATCAAGACTAATCAAGAAATATCTAGAGAGATAAGGCGGTGATATATTCAAACTTTGATGTCAAAGAGTTAAAGTTAATAAGAATTGATGTCACCGGTTGTCCATCGATCGCGGCTTTGAATATTGTATCAACTCAGGCCAATGTGGATGAGGAAGTGCTAAGACTATTCAGACAAAGAGGAATCTCTTAAGTGGGGACGTAGGAGATCATGTGGAAAGTTTATACGGGCCAACGCACGCGGTCTTGTGGAAAGATAACACGCGTCTTCGCCGGGACTGAGTCAGTGATAGGTAATGGACTCAATTGAAAACGTAGATATTCCTCGGTCGGACAGTGAAGGCATATACTTTGTAGGGACATGGGAAGGGTCGGCATTAGGGGACCAATTAACCCTACGACATTTCAAAACGCTAACGTAAGAGACGACCATAAGAGTAGCGGTCTCGCCATTTATATCTGATTGTGAAATGACAGCAAAAGACGAGCACGACGTTCCTGGCGGAGGAAAGAACGTCTTTACGTCGCCAAAGGACTTGCCTTACCCAATTCTCTACCTCATAGAGCATCTAGGATTGCCTTCTAGAATCCCATCACGTTATGGTAAAGGCTCATTTTTATTCCTAGAGGGCTTCAAGTATAAGCACAGAGTTTCCAAGTCTAAATTAGGCTGAGATGACCAGATGCGTAAATCTGTGTGCACAATCATATTTGAGACGGGCTTTATTCGAGTGGAAGTTTCGTTTTTTTGCAGGGTTTTGGGTTAATGTGATTGGAGGTCATGCTGTCACAAGTTGGCAAAAGGGTTCAACCTCTGACCGGAGAGGAAGGTAATCTGAGATTCGAATGTGTAATCCCTTTTCTGAAGTAGGTAATTAGCCAAGTAATTCACCAAAGTCTATGGGTTAAACGCATTTCAAACGGAAGCAAGGTGACACAAGCAGCACAATCTCTATCAAGAGAGGCTTGTAGGTAGCCTTGAGCCAGCCGGGCAAGTGTAAGTATGGAAAGTCAAATGTCAACTGTTATTAATATACATCGGTGTTTGATGTATGATGTATTGTTTTGATATTGGAAAAAATTTACTGTACTTCGATTTTGTGAAATTTTTTCTGAAAAATATTAGTTCTTCTAAATTCATTTTTTTTTGGATTTTGTGGAATTACTTACTTTTTCTTCGAATATTTTTTAACTTTTGGAACTTTAATTTCAAAATAAGTTATAAAAAAAAATTTGGCCCTCGTATAACGTGCCCAAATTTGGCATGTGGGCCGGCAAGGCCCGCTAGAGTGACGTACCGTGCCTAGCCTGGATGTTTAGGACGTGAATAACAACATTTCTCTTCCCCGACCCTTTTTCTGGCTAGAAATTAAAAAATATATTTCTTTTTTTCGGACGAGTTTCTGAATAAAAAGTAGCGTTTGATAACAATACAATATTTCTGTTTCCGGAATAGAAATTCGTTTGATAATGACGTAAAATTTCTATTCCCACTGGCTGGCGAGCGGCGGTGGCAACGGGTGACGGCGGATAGCTGGTGAGCGGCGATCGGGGGTGGCGACAGATGGCCGGTGAAAGGCGGCGGCGGGCGGTGGTGGATAGTCGGCGAGCGGCGGTGGTGATGGGCGATGGCGGATGGCTAGCGAGCTGGGGCGGGCAATCGGCGTGTGGCAGGCGACAGTGGATGGCTGGCCGGCAAGTGGCGGCAACGACGGGTGGCGGCGGACCGCCGGCGGTTAGAGGTTAGTGGGCGGCGGTGGGCGGCGATGTGCGGCAAGGGTGAGCAATAAAAAAGAGTTGTTATTTCTGTTTTTGTTTCATAAATAGAAAGTAAAAAATCTTAACTTCTCATTTCTGTTCCAAATCTATTTCTAGGCCAAAATTTGTCCCAGAAATTAAAAAAAATGAAATTATTTTACCAAACGGATTTTTGTTTCAAACCTGTTTATGGAAAAAAAAAGAAAAAGAAAAAGAAAAATAGGAAAACAAAATGGTTATCATTCGTATCCTTAATGAATCTTCAAGTAATTGGACCTCACATTTTTGCATCCGAGCTATAAATAGAATTCCACATTTATATGTCTAGGAAGAAACTTTCAACAAGTAATCCATTAAATAATCGGTACAGCAATGTTTTAAATACACAACTGTGGAAGAAATTGACAAAGGCCGCGACCCGCAAGACCAAGCTAGATGAGACGAGGCGTCGTGGCGAGATTCAACAGAAAAAAAGATCGAGCGGTGCCTCAAGAGAGACTGGAGAGAGAGAGAGAGAGATGGGCTAGATCTAAGAAAGCGCCGCTGACGAGCGAGGGAGAGGGGCCGGTTCGATCCTGTTTTCGGTTGAACCGGACCGAATGCACGCCCCTAGTTTTGAAGGCACATGTGTCATGGTCGAGATGCTTCTCTTTAACTTGGGTTTCCGGATCTTCTACTTTCATTTCATTTCCATTTCGGGTCATGGTCAACAAGCCCAGAATCGGACAGAATGCACATTCCTATTGAGGGCACATTTGTCTCGGTGAAGACGCTTCTTTTTATTTTGGGTATCTTAATCATTTTCTCAAATTTTATTTCCATGTCGGGTCATCACCACCTCTTCCTGTATCTCCTCAAGCCCTATTTATACCACGCATCTCACTCCCCTCTATCATCACCTTTCTCTTCACATCTCATAAAACACGCACAGATTACGCAATTCTCTTCCAGTTTAGTTTGAAGCCGTGCTCGTCCAAGCTCAGTGAAATGGCAATGTCACCAGAGAATGAACATCCAGTGAAGGCTTTCGGATGGGCAGCCACAGACTCTTCAGGACATCTCTCTCCCTTCAAGTTCTCAAGAAGGTAATGTGACTTGGTTTTTTCTTTTCGTTGATTCTTATTTTGGGTGCATCTAAAAGTATAACAGTGGGGAGCATCTATTTCTCGACATTCATTGATTTTCTTTTTTCCAGGGCCACCGGAGAAAAGGATGTAACTTTTAAGGTATTGTATTGTGGTATATGTCATTCTGATTTCCATAATGTCAAGAACGAATGGGGAATAACTTCTTATCCCGTTGTGCCCAGGTATGACTTTTCAAAACCATCATCCTTTTCGATTCTCTTAGATAAATAAACGACATTTTTAGCCACTAATTATACTAATTGGCCATTATATGTAGACATGAGATTGTAGGTGTGGTTACCGAAGTGGGCACCAAAGTGACAAAATTCAAAGTCGGGGACAAAGTGGGTGTTGGATGTATGGTCGGATCGTGTCACTCCTGTGCAAATTGCAAAGATGATCTTGAGAATTACTGTCCCAAAATGATCCTGTCCTATGGTGCAAAGTACTATGATGGAACCAACACCTATGGTGGCTATTCGGACATCATGGTATCAGATGAGCACTTCGTGATTAAAATCCCCGACAACTTACCTCTTGATGGTAGTGCTCCCCTCCTTTGTGCTGGGATCACTGTCTATAGTCCATTGAAGTACTACGGGCTTGATAAGGCCGGAATGCATATAGGGGTGGTTGGGCTTGGTGGGCTTGGTCATATGGCTGTAAAGTTTGCTAAGGCCATGGGCCTCAAAGTGACCGTCATAAGTACCTCACCTAATAAAAAGAAGGAAGCCGTGGACCATTTGGGAGCCGATGCATTCTTGATTAGCCGTAACACAGAAGAGATGGAAGTAAGTCATAGTCACAATGGGTTTTTTTTATTTGATGATGTATAGGGATAAGGTCAACCGAATGTAGATTTATGTTATTATCTTTTTTTAATTGTAGCTTGCGATGGGTACGATGGATGGCATCATTGATACAGTCTCGGCTATGCATGTTCTTTTGCCGTTGATCGGACTCTTGAAAAATAATGGAAAGCTTGTCATGGTTGGTGCACCAGCGAAGCCGCTTGAACTACTTGCATTCCCACTCCTCATGGGTAAGCCTAAGCAAGTCTTTTGAGTTTTGTTGTACTTGGAAAAAACTACCTACATAATTGGTGTTCAAGATCAAGTTTTAATGCTTTTTAGTTTTAGTAGATGATTACTTCTGAGTTTAATGAGTGCAAAAACAGTAACGATTAAGACCAATGACAGGTAGAAAGATGGTGGGAGGAAGCTGCATCGGAGGGATGAAGGAGACACAAGATATGATTAATTTTGCGGCAAAGCACAACATAATCGCGGATATTGAGCTCATTCCTATGGATTATGTGAACAATGCCATGGAGCGTATATTAAAAGCCGATGTTAAGTATCGATTTGTCATTGACATTGCCAATTCATTGAAGCCTTTCTAATGATGATTCTGGTGGATTACTACTTGGCTGAGTGTATCTTGTTATCTCATAATCATGTACTACAACTAAGATTTTGCTTCTACTTGTTATCTCATAATCATGTACCCGTTGGAATAACTTTGACTACTTAGTGTAGATAGCGACCTTATTTTAGGTCGTTATCCTCAGAAAGTATGCAATCCACAAAATCACAAGAGTTCTTTCATGTGTTTGTAAGTAAATCATGCACTCAAAGCCAATACCCTTTCTCAACAATCTCTTTGCGACTGTGTGAAAGAAAAAAAACAAAACAACTTAGAGGATTTGATGGCAAAACAAGAAGTTTCAAGATCCTATTTCACATTTGATGATACGAGTTAAAGGATAAATAGCGTACTTAACTCAAATAATAGCTAGTCGTTTTTGCACCCATGATGGGGTTTCTTAGTTTTCATACGGATCTCTAGCTAGAAGCACATCGGCTCGAAAGCAATTCGAAGATTTTGGGAACCAGACGTAAGTGTACCCAGCAAAAACAAACTTGAACCCGATAATCCACCCAAACTCATTACCCAAGAGAGGCCAACTCAGTGGCGGACTGGGTTGCTAAAGTCCACAGGAGAAACTCTTTGCCACCAAATTGGGTTTTGTCCCCTCTCCATTCCCTTTGGGAACTCTTATGTACTGAAGCTCATTTATCGGGCCCTACTATCTTTTCTTAGTAAATGAATATTTCATGTTCAAAAAAAAAAAAGAACCTGATCTGAGAATAGGGTATGGGTGGACTTTTTCCAACATGCAAAAAATCAATTCAACGTGCCATGACTTGTAAATTTCCGGGTTGGGTTGGATCAGATCGAGTCAAATTGTTTTAACCCGGTTTGATCCGACATGAGGATAAGCTTCTTTATCTTTTTTTGTTTGAATCATAATTGAAGATATAAAAATTTGAAATAGTCAAAGTCACACAATATCCCGTCTTGTTAGCCGTGGAAGAAGCATATATTTTCTATGATTCCGTATTATGAATGCGATGAATCGAAACAATTTGAACAACACAGACATTCTAAGATTCGTTTACTAAATTTGTTCATGACAAAATTTGGTTGGCTTAAAAGGCCATTGACTCGAATAAAAACTTACAGAGCATTGCATCACTGAATAAATTAAGTACACGAATCTTAGTAACGCTGACATTGCTCAAATAATTTACTAGTTGGATTGGGTCAAACTACATTTGACCTGACTTGACCCGAAATATGAAGAAATTTCATTTTTTTTGTTTTTGCTTGAATCATCATAATCACAGTTAAGATATATGTAATGTATTGGATAAAAAAACATAATTTATATAATTTCAAAGGAGTATCACTTTTTTGGTGGGAAGCTAAAATTGGATACCATCGTGCTAAAGTCTGAGCTTTATTAGCATAAATTTTTGTTTTTCTTAATTAGTAAAAAAAGGTATCTGGTACAATGTTTTCCTTATATGATACTCTTTAGGTGGTTAGCCTTATTATGATTTTTAAACATTTTTTCTTTGATTCAATAGTCTATTTAGATTCCGTTTGCTTCACGGAAAATATGACATTTATGGGCAATGTTCAAGAATTTTCCAGGAAAATGATAATATTTTTCGATATTTAGCTGAAACGTGAAAACGGACGAGAAAATATTTTATGTCGTTTGGTAAGTGAACTTACTTTATTTTGCTAAAGAAACATGTAGTATTGGGTGCTAATGACTTGGACACGGATAGGCAGGGATATGGACATGAGCACTTGGGTCCACAATGGCCAGATCTTGAACCTCAACGCCCATGCCTAGGTTCCCGACGCTTGGACCTCAGTTCATGGATTTCACACCTGGGTCCACATAGCTCGGGCCCAGGATCTGAGTGCCTAGGCTTGCGTCCATCAAGGCCAATCCTAGGACCCCGGTGCCCAGGCTCGAGTCTACTAAGGTTGGGCCGAGAACCTGATGCCCATGCCCTAATCCTCAGTGCTTACACCTAGGTTTGTCGAGGTCGGGCCCTAGTCCATAGAGACCAGCCTAGGATCTTATTGCTCGTGCCTGAATCTCTAGCACCCACGCCCGAGTCAATCAAGGCTAGGCGAGGGTTAATTGAGGCCACATTTGGGACCCCGAGAGTGTTCCACGCTCAAGATCAATGGACCCAAGCTTGACCTTGTCAACCCAAGCCCGACCTCCATGGACTCAAGCCCGGGTGCCAAAAACCTGAGCATTAGCCGACCGATGTGGACTCGGACCCGACATTGATGGACCAAAGCCAAGTGTTAGATATTTGGGCATGAGCACCAAGGTCCTCAGCTCGAACTCGATGAACCTAAGTCCGACTTCAATGGATCCAAGCCCCAACGTCAAGAACTGGGCACAAGCTCTGGGGTCCTGAGCTTGGGCGTCGACGATTCGTGCATGGGTACTAGGGTCCTAAGCTTGGTCCCAATGGACTCATACTTGAGAGCCAAGGACCCAAGCCTAAGAGAAGGGACTAGGGTTTCGGCATTAGTGTCCCTAGCCTAACATCCATGGACTCGGGCCAATGTACCAGGGACCCGATCCCGAGTATTGACGACCCAAGCATGGCCTTGGTGGACTAGGGCTCGGGTGCTATGAACCCAAACACAGGCTCTGGGGTCCAGGGCCCTACCTTGATGGAACCGAGCTAGAGCATCAGGGATTCAAGCACGAACATTGGGGTCCTAAGCCCAGACTCCATGGACCCGCACCCAACCTTGTTAGACCGAGGATTTGGTGCCAGGGAGCCAAACACGAGTTTTGGGGTCCTAAGCTCAATCTTGATGGACCTTGGTACCAGCAATCCAAGCACGGGCATTGGGGTCTCAAGTCCAACCTCAATGGACCTGAGCTCGAGAGCTAGGGACTAGGCACAGGCCCCGCTTCCATGGACTCGGGCCAAGTTTCTGAGGACTCGGGCACAGACATTGGGGTCTCAAGATTGGCTTCGTTGGACAAGGGCCTAGGCAGGTCCAAGGCACAAGGATTAACGTCTTAAGGACGAGCGACAAGGTCTCAAGCCTGTTTTCTGTGGACCCTTGTTAGGGTTTTTGTGTCCAAGCACAGTGTCTCTAGTCCAAATGATGGTATCTAATCATATATTGGAAAACAATTTCTTGATTTTTGAAAGAGGAAATCATTTTCCTAAATATAAGCATAGGTCTTTCGTTGATTAGGAAAATATTTTTCATTGAGTCATTTTCCTAAATGATCCAAACACTGAAAAATAATGAAAATGTTTTCCGAGAAACAAACGGAACTTAATCATAGTCATTCTAAGAGTTTTCCAATTTCTGTTTAATTTGTTATTATGATGTATTGAGCAAATTAATTATGTGGTTATATAAAAGCTATCATAAATTCGCGACCATTACACAAATTTTCTAATTATTCACTTGTCAAAGATATACTTCTTAGAAATATTTGCACCGGAAAAACAAAAATAGGGTAAAACAAGCGTTAACTTTGTTTGAAAAGGATTGTGTACGAGTTGATCAAATGTTACCTATTTAGAACGACCCCTCTAACGGCTTAAACCCGGACATGGGTCAGGATCCGAACCTGCCTTAATCCGTCTGATTGCTAGGTCTACATTTAAGCATACAACCTAAATAATTATTGCACGTCAAAATCATGATTCACATCTTTTCTTGGCTAAACATCACGAAATAGGATTTTTTTGCCTAAAAAGAACACGAAAATCCAAAATCCAAGCAAGCTCGAACCTACCCGAATAAACTTGGTTTCGGTTTCTTTGGGTGTGTATGGAAACATTTATGTTATCGGGAACAATTTATGTTCATAAATTAATTTTTTTATTTCTATTCACTAGACGAGTTTCTAAGCAAAAGAAAGCGTTTGGTAACTATACAAAATTTTTATTCTCGAAATAGAAAAAGAATAGAAATGCGTTTGGTACAACCCTAAAAATTTCTATTCCCAATTTTTTTTCATTTAATTATAAAAATGTCAATGGAAACTTAACAATTCATGTTTGGATAAAACTGGATTTTTGTTTTTTTTTTTGGTAAGGAATAAAACTGGATTTTTGTAAGGACTTAACTGATCAAGATATTATAAGATAGCCTTAGAAAATCCAATGTAATAGTTAGTCAAATATGGATGGCTAAAAATGACAGTAGAGAGTCCCACTAGTTTATAACTCACAATATGAAGAGGATGATAGTAAATCTTTGGGCATTACAATAAACAAGTTCATATACTTTTTAAGCTTTAGGGTGTAGGGTTTAAGGTCTAGGGTATAGAGTGTAGGGGTAGGGTTTGGGGTTTAGGGTCTAGGGTGTTGGGTGTAAGGTTTAGGGTATAGGATTTAAGATTTATGCGTTATGGTTTAGGGTGTAGGGTTTAGGGCGTACGTTATGTTGAACTTGATTATCTAAAATGACCTTATTTCTTATTTTGTTTCCAGGAACAAAAAAGTAGAATTTTTTACTTCTTATTTCGGTTCCAAATATATTCTCTGGCCACTGATCTATTTTTTGGGAGTAGAAAAATTAACCGACGTACATAAATAAATTTATGTTATTTTTTTTGTTTCGGGAAACAAAAGAACAGAAAAACAAAAAAATAGAAATATTACCAAACATGCCCTTAAATATATTTCTATTAGTAAAATACTTGTGTTTTTTAATAAATTACACAGATGTACATTATTGTCGATAATGCTTCAATCTTCCGAACGCTGCCGAACTTACATATATATTATACATGGCGTATTACACTCGTACTTTCTATTTATTATCTACATTTTCACCAATCAGTTAATGATATAATAAGTCAAATATCCTTTATATACCGAATATCATGCCATATTCACATTAATAAATATAATATCCTTTTGATTTATCATTAGATAGTACGAAATAATAACAAAACGCAACTATGAAATCGGTGTTTTTAATTAAGTAAGTACGATCAAAATCGGTAACATCTTATAGGCAATTTTGCTCCTTCTTAGTATAATTAAGGTCAACTCAAGATA